ACTTGTGCTGCCACTCCTCTCCATCTTAGGGCATATTCTTGAAATCTTTCATTGGTTTTCTTCTTTACTCTTCGAAGATCCATACGTGTTGGAGCTAAGCCTTTAACATACCGATATTGTCCAAAAAATGCATCAGCTAGATCTACCCATCTCTTGATCTGTTCTTGGGTCAACTGATTGTACCAGACTACTGTTGGGCCAACAAGACTATCATGGAAATAGTGAATTAATAGATCATCAGAACTCAAATATCATTCCATTTTTCTGCAAAACATTCTCAAATGGATTAAGGGACAACTGGTGCCATCATATTTCTCAAAATCAGGCATTTTGAATTCATGGGGAATAATCAAATCTGGAACCAAGCTGAGCTTTCTTGCTTCTAATTCTTTGTGGTAGGCATTAACACTTTTCATATTTCTGATTGCTTCATCCATCTTCTTGAATCTTTCTTCATACTGTGAATAATTAACGAGGCTATTCCTTGGGTTCGAGTGGGATGCCCCAGGTTATGTTATCTTTCTCGACTCTTCAATCTGATAGCATAATTTCTCTTTAGCAGTTATCTCTTCTTTATCAGATGCCACACACTGAATAATTTGATTTGATCCATCTGGTATTGAATCTGATGCTTCTTTCCTTGTATCCCGAGGTAACCCTATCAATTGTTCTAGCCACTTATCTTGTAGTCCCTCATAAGATTGCTCCATTGTTTTCATGATGATGGTACAGTAAAATAAATGAATGATCTTGGTTTTTTACTGTTACAGAAACCTTTCATGAATTATTTACATGTTTTTATAATTAAAGTACATAACAGTACTTAAATAAAAAATGTGAAAAATGCATAAATGGAAAAATAAGAATGCAAAATGTGCAATTCAAAGGCAAACATAAAAGTATGAATGCAAAATGAAAAATGCAAAGATGCAAAATGAAAATGCATATATGAAAAGGTGTTACTCAAGAGTGATCATCTTAGAATAGATTTCATTGAACACAAAAGTCTCCGTGTATTAAACAAAACTTTTACATATAGGGAATAACTTTCACTCCTAATTTCTCTATTTCACTTAAAAGCCAAACTAACTTCCACTCATACTCAGGTGTGGAATTATCCATCTGCTTTAATTCTCTCGTGAAGCCAGCTAAGTCCACCAGCTTATGTGCCATATTGTTTGCTTGAGCAGCAGCTTCATTCATGATATTGTCTTTTTCCTTTATCCTTCGTGTCGATTCTCGGAGTTGTAAACAATGTTGTTCATTTTTTCTTGAGAAAATCTTCGTGGTTACAGAGTTCTCGTACAATATCCCCATAATCATCTAAATATTTCTTCAATGTCTTGTTCTTTTCGATAATGGCTTTTAATTCAGTATTAACCTCATGCTGATAGATCTGATATGATGCTTCCATGTTAGTCATAGCACTATTCAACCTTTGATTTTCGACTTGACATCTTTTTAATTCACTGACAGACATATTGCGTATTTCTTCTGCAACTCGTAAATCATGATAAAACTTCTTTGCTCAACCTTCATGTATTTTACAATTCTTTTTCAGTTTGGTGACCCCTTTGATCCACTCTTCTGGGGTGTTTCCTATGCCAGCATTTTGAAAGGTTTGACTGACCTTCTGGAAATCTTCCTGCATGGTTTCCATTTTGGTGCTCAATTCATTGTTTTGCTCCTTCAAATGACGTATTTGAACTTCGAATCTAAGCAAATCTTCTTCCTTTTGGACGCCCCTACTGATGCTCTTACCTTTGAATACATTTGGTGTTGATCTGGAAGGATCTTCAGTTACCAAACTAGGTTGATCATTTATCATAAACTGCAAGATTCCCTGATCCAAAAGACTTTGAACTCGAGGTTCGAAAGCAAGGCAATTCTCAATGGTATGTCCTTGAGCTCCGGCATGATATTCACAATAAGCGTTGATGTCATACCAATTTGGATACGGAGGTTGGAATGGTTTTATATAGTACGGGGCCACTTCTCGTGCTTCAAGTAGCTTATCATATAATTCTTTATACGATATAGGGATAGCATCAAAATGAGAACCACCTTTTGTCTTGGATTGATCCTGAGTTTTAGATGTCGGGAGCAGATTAAACTTCGATGATTTCAGATTACATGATTTCTTCTCATCTCTGGGAGCTTTTACAGTGGTCACTATTTCTTTAGTATCTCCATACGATTTGTGAATACGAATGATGATTGACTGTAATTTCTCAAGTTGGTTAAGATCCGAAGTCCCTTGCGTATCTGACATTGCAGGGTTAAGTTCATTGAGCTCTTTCTCTTTCCGTGCAGGAATTTCTTTTCCTTTGTTCAAAACAGATATTCTATCCATCATCCTGTTCATTTGCTCTCTTATTTCTCGTATCTCCTTTTGCTCTTCAATGGGCATACGATCTTTGAGTGCATAGCTTGCTTCTATCCTTGGAGTTTCCTCAGGATGTCTTTTCTTGGCCACATCATATTTTGTTTGATCATAAAACTTTTTGTCCATTTACGATTTCTTTCCAATATGATGAACAGTCTTTCCAGTAAACACCTTTTGGTTATGCCATGATCATGCAATGTAAACAAAAGAAATGAGAAAAAATAAAATAGTTAGTACTAACTAATGAAAAAATCTATCTATCAAGGTATAAATCTTAACCTCATGCTTTCTAGTTCCATGCTTTGTTTGGAAAAATTAACCTAACCGCATGATTTTTAGTTCGCATGCATTTATTCAGAAAAAATAATAAATTAAAAAATTAAAAGCTAAAGCTTATTTCTCCTTTGTGTACACCTAAGGACAGAGGTTCAGTACTGTCTTATATCAGGAGAAGTTCTAAGGTTTATTATATGCAGGGTTTTAGTTCTAGGAGTAAAGGTACTCGAATTGTCCTTGTTAGTGCCCCCTTAGGCTGCCAAACCCTCAATCCTAGTCCATTACAGACTTAAGCGGATCGAGTTCAATTCGAGGGGATACATTTCTCTATGACTAACACGGAGAATAAATTCTCACGAAGACGTTGCTTTCACTCCCACTTAAAAGGGACAAACTCAATTATAGAGCTTTATGTTATGCAATGCAAGTGTTGTGTGTGAGGAGAAATGTTCAAACTTCTAACAGAAAAATAAATAAAATAAAACCTGAATAAAAAAGTATAAAAATAATAAGTAATAAAAAATTTGAAAGAAAAGAATTAAAAATTAAATATATGAATTTTAAATTTCTAACTGATAGAGACAATTTATAATTGATTTTAAAAGTTTGACCGAATCCCCAGCGGAGTCGCCAAGCTGTCGTAACTGGTTTTCGTCCGGGCACGAAATTTTTATACTTGGCGGGAAAAATAATGTGAATAAATGGTTTTAAAAAATAATTCGGGAGTCGCCATCAGCCTTTTGGGTCAGGTAGGTCGATTACCTAAAAATTATCTTTTAAAAGAGTTTTTAAGAAAACATCATTTAAAAGATGAACTGATCTGCGTTTATAACCAAAAATTCGTTCTTTTTATTAATAAAAAGGGATTCGTGGTCGGTTACGTTTAGGGAAGGATTAGCACCCCTACAATGCCCAAAATTGGTACTTTTTAATTATAAATTGTCTCTATTATTGGAATTTAAAAATTCAAAAATATATTTAATTCATAATCCTTTTATTTCAAATAATTTTAAGAAAAAATATTAATATATAAATAAGATATTTACTTATTTAGAAATATCAGAAAATGGCTTCTAGGTGCTTTAAGACAGCTCTTTTCTTTGATATTAATGAATAATAAATGTTAATAAAACATTTATCTAAAAATAATTAAAATATATTGATATATGAAAAAAACATTTATTTATTTAAGAATATCAGAAAAGGACTTCTAGGTATTTTAAGACAGCTCTTTTCTTAGATATTAAAAAATAAATACATATCAAAATATGTTTATTTTTCTTAAAAGTAATTTATAAAATTAAATTTATAAATAGGATTTTTATTTAATAAACAAATAGAATAAATAAATAAATATTATATAAATATGTTTATATAATTTAATAATAATAATAAAATAATCATGAAGATAATAATTTAAACATATATCAAACGTAATAATAAAATAAAATAATAATAATTAAAATGAAAGAAATTAAAAGTAATAATATTAAAAACTAATGGATCATATTCATAAATATATGAACTTAAAAATGTAAAAATAATAAAACTTATGGTTAAAATTAAGATTATATAAAATTTAATGATAAAATTATAAAAATATAAATATTTAAGAGACATGATTAGAATTATCATAAAATATAAATACTAGTAGTGTAATTAACCATTATTTATTTAATCGGTGATTAAAATAGAAATATTAAAATTATTAGGGACTAAATGTGATATTTATCTTAAATATATTATTTAATACTGGTAATGACTAAAACATAATAAAATGAAATTCGAAGACTGAATTAGAACATTCAAAAGTTAGTTTCAGTGACTAAAATGAATAATTACAAAACTCGGATGGCTACGGAAAGGGTTTAGCCATACATGTAAATTACGCATATACCTCTTCCCAAAACGACGTCGTTCGGGAAGGGGTATAAATCCCCCAAACAGCTGGCCCGAAGGGCCAGCTCTCTCATTCTCCTTTCTCCCTTATCTCTCAACACTGAGAGAGAACCAGAATTCTCTTGCCTCTCTCTAAAACTGAGAGAGAGGCCACCGCCCGGCAGCCGTGCTACGACGTCGGCAAGGCGGCTGGCTGCTGGGATGATATAAACCCTAAATTAGGTTTAGGGTTTGCTATGGGCTTCTGGATCTGGGCCACTAAGTTTGTAATTGGGCCTCGATTTGGGTTTTGTAATATTAATAAATAATATATATTAATAATAATAATAATTATTATTATTATAATAATAATAATAATTATTATTATATAATAATAATAATAATAATAATAATAATAATAAATTTAAATTTAAAATGAAAAAATTGATGTCTACAGAATGTATAGTAATCCTCCCAGGCATCCTGGAACTTCTCAAAGGGTCTGGAATCCTTCTAATACATCAACTTATGGTAATTTGCCCGGCCCTTACTTTTCTCTAGGAGATAGCCCTAGTTTCAACTATGGAGCAGCCAGGCCTCAAATGTTTGGTAACAGGCCGAATCTTGATCAAGGATCTGGAGGTAGTGCTTATATCAGTCCAGGAAGAGGCAGGAGTCGTGGATACAGTGGGAGCAGCACTCCTGGTTTAGGAAGGAGTGTCGGACGAGGACAAGGTTTTCGTGGTCGTAGCTCAGCATCAAACAGGATATTAGGGCCAGAGAGTTACTTTGATCAATCCATGTTGGAAGATCCTTGGCAGCATTTAGAACCTATTCCATGGAAAAGACAAGAAGCTGGAATGGATAGTTCGAGTACTCCGGGCACTTCAAATTCCTGGCTTCCGAAATCCATTGACCCAAAGAAGGCAAAAGTTTCAGAGGCTTCTTCAAACAAGTTTAACTCTCAACAAAGTCTGGCCGAGTACCTTGCTGCTTCATTCAACAAAGCTGTTGAGGATACGCAAAATGAATGAAAGTTGCTCAAATCTCAAAGAACAACCACAATTGGCTTGAAATGAGAAGAGATCTGTTATGGCAACTTGATGAGATTTGCTTTTCTCCCATTCTCATTAATCTCAGCAGGCTTATCTTTGAGATTTGAATTCGAAGATTTCTAGATGAAGCCAAGATTATTTTAATGGAGGACAAGCAACGGTTTTGGCTTTCGAACTGGGTCTGGGATCTCCTCTTGCATTTCGTTTTTGTGTTTGTTGAAGAACAGAATACAAAGATCAGTATATTTCTTATGTTTTTACAGTTCACAAGTATGCCAGCTTTATAGCTGGTGTTGAGCTAATAACTGCTCTAACAATCTAACAAACTCTGGCGCCAAATATAACCGAAACTATCCACATGCTATAGCCATGCTATTGTACGTGCACGTCTACAGCTTACATTCCCTCTACTCTTTTTTTCTTTTTTTTTTATTAAGACAATGTTACAACCCTGGTACAACACACACATTGCGGCGAAATTCTTCAAATGCAGACTTGGAGAGTGGTTTGGTGAAACCATCAGCTATTTGATGCCCGGCTGGTATGTAGTTAACCCTCAACTGACCAGCTGCAACCTTCTCCCGAACGAAGTGTATATCGAGGTCTATATGCTTCGATTGAGCATGATACACAGGATTAGCACTCATGGCTACTGCTCCTGTGTTGTCACACCAAAGCACTGGCTCTCTCAACTGCTGAAACCCCAAATCTGCAAGAAAAGAGCTCGTCCAAGCGACTTCAGCTGTTGCGTCAGCCAAACTCTTATTTCAGCCTCCATTGTGGATCGAGATACGGTTTTTTGTTTCTTTGAACTCCATGCAACTAAACATTTGCCAATGAACACACCATAGCCAGAGATTGACCTTCGATCGTCTACATTTGCTCCCCAATCAGCATCTGCAAATGCTGATACAGTCAGTTCTGCCTTGCTTGCTTGAAACATTAACCCGTAATCTATCGTACCAACCAGATATCGAAGGATTCGCTTGACTGCAAGCCAATGCATTTCTCGTGGTGCATGCATAAATTGCGCCACCTTTCCCACACTATAAGACAAATCAGGTCGGGTGTGACATAGTATAGCAATGACCCTACTACGCTGCGGTATTCACTTGGATTCGGCAGTAACTCTCCAGCATCCTTTGACAGCTTTGGTGCCAGAACCATTGTGTATGGCAAGCAGCTGCCCTTGTCATGTTCGTTTTTTCTAGCAACTCTAGCACAAACTTCTTCTGATTCAAGAAGAGACATTCACGGGAGCGATGAACTTCAATTCCCAAGAAGAAATGAAGTGCACCAAGATCCTTAAGCGAAAAAGCAGAACTGAGTAACTGAACTACTGCTTGAATTTCACACGACGAGGGCCCCGTAATGACGATATCATCAACGTATACTAATGCATACACATTGCCAGTATCTCGTTTGCAAACAAAAAAGGATGCATCTGCTCGTGAAGCTGTAAACCCATCTGTACAAGACTGTTGCGGAGCTTAGCGTGCCAATTCCTGGGCGCCTGGCGCAGTCCATACAAGGCCTTTTGAAGCTTGCAGACCAGTGTAGATCCATCTTCAGCAAATTGTTCAAATCCTGGTGGTTGCTTCATGAATACATCCTCAGTAAGATCACCATTGAGGAAGGCATTGTTCACATCAATGTGTCTCAACTCCCAGTTATTAGACACTGCTAGTGCCAAGATTGCATTAAGGGAGGCGAACTTAACAACCGGGCTATATGTATCGAGGAAATCATGTCCTGGTATTTGCGAGTAGCCTTTCGCAACTAGTCGTGCCTTATAGCGGTGTATAGAACCATCGGGGTTACGCTTTAGCTTAAACAACCATTTGCACCCAATAGGAGTGTGACCTTCTGGCAATTTGACCAGTTCCCACGTATTGTTCCTTTGAAGTGCTTCGAACTCGGCTTGCGTTGCCTCCTTCCACTCGGTCGTCTGTAGCGCCTCTTGTACCGAGGAGGGAATCTCATTATCAAAATGAATAGAATACAACTTGGGTGTGTAATACCACGTTTACTGCGTGTTATCATCGGATGATGATTTTCCATCACTGGTAAAGTAGGTGCAACAGTAGGTGACACCAATTCTTCATGCTCTCGATTTGAGCTAGTTACTGCATCAGTATCATTTACAACAGGCACATTGAATTCTGCCCCCGAGCCAGCTATAGGAATTAACCCTTCACCTTGTGTGGTCCCAACATTGTTGTTATTTGATTCAACCATATTCTGGCACTGTTGTTCATCACTGTCTTCAACAACTGCAGCATCCTGATGGTTTGTAGACATAGTATCAAGACTCAACTTCTTTACATCAGCTACAATCGGAATATTTTGCAAGCAAACACCCTGCGAACCACGTGATGAGCAGGCTGCGTTTTTTTCTGCAAATGGAAAAACAGATTCGTTAAATACCACATGCCTAGAGATGTAGACTCTACCATTGTTTGCCAAGCACTGGTAACCCTTGTGTTGAGGGCTAATGCCAAGAAATATGCAGGATTGTGATCGAAAACATAGTTTGTTATTCTGGAAGGGTCTGAGATGTGGAAAGCACTGGCATCCGAAGACCTTGAGATAAGCATAATCCGGTTTTCTTTGAGTCAACTTCTCGTATGGTGTAATCCCTCCAAGAACAGATGTTGGAAGACGATTTATGAGATGAACAGCAGTTACGAAGGCATATGACCAGTATTGCAAAGGCAACGAAGCTTGGGCCAGCAGTACAAGACCTAACTCAACGACATGGCGATGCTTGCGTTCGACCACACCGTTTTGCTCAGACGTGTGAGGCAGGTCAGTCGGTGCACTATCCCGGATTTAGCAAGTAAGACAGAAAACACTCGATATTCTCCACCCCAATCTGATTGCAACGCTTTAATCGAGCCACCGAATTGATTTGTAACTAACTTGTGAAATCCCTTGAATGCTTCAACTGCTTGAGCTTTATCTTTGAGTAGATAAGCCAAGTAAAACGAGTAAAGGCGTCTATAAACGTTACATAATATAACCATTAGAAGCAACATGAGGAGGTCCCCAAAGATCAGAAAAAATTAGCTCAAATGGTGCACTGTATTGGGTACTTGATGAAGGAAACGGTTGCTTGTGACTTTTACCCATAAGCAAGCCACACAAGTTTTATTAACATCAAGGTCAAGTCTTACATCAAGTTCTTTTGCAACTTTACTAAACGCAAAACTAGCTGGATGCCCCAACCGTCGATGCCACAGCTCAGATTGAGAGGCAGATGCAATGTTAGCTTCAGCAGTCTTCTTTTCTGCATCAAGCCCGCTCAGCGAAAACACATATAAACCACCTTTCTCACACCTTGAAGTAAGATCGCCTTGGAACGTTCATCACGAACAAGACATCTTACAGCATGGAATCAAGATAAACCTTGTTGTCCCTAGCAAGCTTGGATACGGAAAGCAAATTTTTGGTTATATAAGGTACATGTAACACTCGTTCAAGATCAGGGTTCTTGACGAGTCAGTAGTAAGAGGAAGTTGAGCAGTACCAATGTTATGAATATCAATGGAGGCCCCATTTCCGATAGTTAGTTTACCTGGACCTCGAAATTCAGTGGTGTTCGAAACATTTGTTGCATCTGGGGTAATATGATGCGTGGCTCCAGAGTCGACCACCCAGTGGTCATTAAATCTAGAAGCAGTGTTGGCTTGCATACTGCCTGCTTCTTGGGAGTGGCCCTTGCAGCATTCACAGCCGAGTCTCGAAGTATCAGCAGCCGAGTAATGAGCGTTGATAGACTGACTTTTACGAGTATTGTGAGTTTGAGAGTCAAACGTCACACACATAAATTCCTCATCAAACCGGTGCCAGCAACGATCTACCATGTGACCAACTTTGCCGCAAAGTTGGCATTGAACTTTGGCTCGGCCTCGACCTTGACCACCAGTTCTGTTGACAGTCGATGGGCGTATGTTTTTAGAGTCTCGACGCCCATTAAAAGACGAATCATGAACTTCCTTTCTTTCAGCTATATTGGCGGCCATAGGTACGTGATCTAATTGCTCATCAAACCCGGCCAGTTGTGCTTCAGCATCTAACAGAACAGTATGTAAACTATCCAAAGATAACGTTTCCTTCATTGTGGTGATGAAAGCCATAAATGGTTGATATTCCCTAGGCAGGCCTTTCAAAATGCTTGCAACATGGCCAACATGTGAAACAGCGCTGCCACACGATGCTAGTGCGTCGCACACTTCCTTCACTCGAGTAAGGTATACCCGCATACTGTCATTGCCTTTCTGGAGTGACTGTAGTTTGCAATGCAAGCTCATGGCAGCAGTCGTGGACCTGCTCGCAAAAGTTGTTGAACAATATTCCACACATCGGCTGCAGATTCAGCACCCACAAAGTGAGGAAGCAGAGGAGAACTGATGGTTGATAGAAGCCAAGAGGCCAGCGCACTATCCTGCGCTACGTAATCTTCAAATGCATCATTGGCACGAGTTACCCCAGAGTCATCGAGTATTGTCTCCGGTGGTGGCCTGAGCACTCCAGTTAGCAGACGTTCAAGTCGGTGGCTCCTTACCGTGAGCAGGATTTGCTGCTTCCACAGGAGGAAATTTGTCTCATCAAGAACGACATTGATTCTCTTGTGAGAGAAGCCGGTACGTGTGAACGACTCCATGAAGCTCCAAACCAAGATGCACAGACACAAGTTGTGAATTAAGAAACCCAAGATCGATCGGCGAAAGATACCAAGTTGAAGAACAGAATACAAAGATCAGTATATTTCTTATGTTTTTACAGTTCACAAGTATGCCAGCTTTATAGCTGGTGTTGAGCTAATAACTGCTCTAACAATCTAACAAACTCTGGCGCCAAATATAACTGAAACTATCCACATGCTATAGCCATGCTATTGTACGTGCACGTCTACAGCTTACAGTGTTAATAGCTTGTTCTAGGAAGGCCGACTATACTCATGCCATCACTCGCAGAAAGTGACAACTTATGAAGACCATATATGGTGGTTTTTTCCATAGGCTATTATTGCAGGTAGATGGTGTTCAGTTTACTTCAAATATGCCAAAATGCTTGCTATTTCACTTAGTTCCTTGTTTGAGAATCACTTTTGAACTATTGTTATTTTAATTTTACTCGTCTTTGACTCTTTACCAATGAATTGGTTGTTTCAAGTTTTTG